AGGCCCACGGCAAGAAGGTCTTCACCGCCTTCGGAGACGCCGTCAAGAACCCCGAGGGCGTCAAGGAGACCTTCGCCAAGCTGAGCGAGCTGCACTGCGACAAGCTGCACGTGGACCCCGTCAACTTCAAGGTGGGACCCCGCCGGCCCCCGACCAGGCTTCCCCCGGGGGCGGGAGGGGGGCAGGGGCTCCTCAAAAAGCCCCCCTCGCGCTGAGGAGGTTCCCTAGTTCAGGGGTCCTCAACCTTGGCCACTTTAAGACTTGTGGACAGTCTTAAAGTGGCCAAGGTTGCGGACCCCTGCCCTAGTTGGGTCTTGCGACGCCTGCGAGAAGAACCGCCCGGCTGCAGAGAGCGCCAAGGAGCCCGCCGTCGTTCTCCGAGCTTCTCGGCCCGTCCAAGACCCCCCCCGCCCCCCCCCGCGTCTCCGGCTTGGGATTCGTGGCCGGGGGCAAAGGCGGAGGTCGCGGTGGAGGAAAGGGGGTCCTTGGTGCAGGAGGGGACTTCGGATACCGGCGGGCAACGGCAACTTTCTTCCCTTATCCTCCCTTCCCCCTGGTTCGTTCGTTCGTTCGTTCCTTCTTTCTTTCTTTCTTTCTTTCTTTCTCCCTTTCCTTCCTTCCTCCCTCCCTCTTTCTTTCTTCCTCCCTTCCTCCCTTCCTCATGCTCGGTCCTGCTTTTTTTGGGGGGGGGGTCGAGAGGGCGTCCGGCCGGGCCCAGCGCCCCCTCCGCAGCCAGCCCAGGTTCCACCGGCAGCCCTTTCTCTCTCTTCCAGCTGCTGGGCGACAGCCTGATCACCGTGCTGGCGGCCCACTTCGGGAAGGAATTCACCCCGCACGTGCAGGCCTGCTTCCAGAAGCTGGTGTCGGTGGTGGCCCACGCCTTGGCCCACCGGTACCACTAGGCCGCCTCCGCAGCGGCTGCGCCCGCCCTTCGTCGCCTCCGAGGGGGCCTTTCCAGCCCCCCTGACCTGCTCAGACAATAAAAGTCACCTTATGCAGACTGAACCGACTCCGTCCGTGGCTTTGTGTGTGTGTGTGGGGGGGGGGG